GTTAATTTTACAATTTTTTTTTAATAACCCAATTTTCTCTACTGTTATTTACAAATAATCTGTTTTCTAATTTTGACATTTTTCATTACTTTATTCAACGGTGATAACAATCAAAATAGAGTATTTTCAATTACAATGTGACACTTATTTTTGTACATTTTTTATTTTTCGAAAAAAAAACTGTTAAAATTAATTACAATCGGTTTTATTTTCTCGCCATGTAATCATATAAACTAGCGTCATATCCTCTCTCGCTAACGCTCTTTCGGTTGAAATTGTAATTCTTATTGTTTACTTATTTCAGTTTATTGATATGTGTTTATTTTATTTTTTAAATTAATATAAAATTAAATTTATTATTTTCTTTAAATATTATATTTTTAAGAAATTTTTTTAATACTTTTCATAAATAAATAATTTATTCTAACTAATATAATAAGTTGTTTCAGTTAATTTCGAGCAATTCCAATCAAAACTTTTTTTTCTGGGTATTAGCTTTGAGCTAAGGGTACAGAAAGAGAATACATATTGATTTTTATTTACAAGGTGATAAGTTCATTTAAATGAACATTCAGAGTTATAAAATTGATCTTTGAGAGAAAGAGAGAGAGAGAGAGAGAGTATCCTGAAGCAACCATTCTTGAAAATAAAGGAAGTTAGCATTCTACTGCAACAAGGAATATAAAGGTTACAACAAATTTTAATAACGAGTCAGGAAGGATTTAGATTAAAAGCATTACGACTTATCTTAAATTTTAGATGTAAGATGTATGAAAAAGGACCACTGCTGTGTCATTAAGTATTGGCAGGAATGGCTGGTCCCAGATATCGCTTAAGAGCTCACCCAAATAATTACATTCTTGCAGAAAAGGAAGAATAGATGATTTCCAAATATTATGGGAAAGTTAAAGTTCTTTTTGACATAGGAACTTTTAACACTTGACACTGAGATTCTTCTAAGTTCAACTTGAGTATAAAATTGAGCAGAACAACAGTACTTCTACAAGATTTCATATATGAAGTTGACCTGCTGGTATCAAAATCTGAACTGGACTCTCCTGGCAAATGTGGTCCTTTTATACAAAATTTTCACAAAGAGAATAGATAAAATTTTATTGTAGTGGGTTGCTTTTTCCACCCTATCGATAAAAGACATTATCCAATTAAATTAGGGTGACTTCTCTTTGAATTATCAATAACCGAGGTGATAAAATGAACATCATAGGAAAGAACTCTCTCAATTGAACAATTTTCAAAAAGTGGTTAGATAAATATTATTCGGAGAAAAACATAATTGGTGTAGAAGGAAGTATGCTCCCCAATCATTTAGAATCTAATCTTATCTATATTTGGTTTCGACCTTAGGGTTAACATAATATATTCCTTTTGTTCAAAGCGTGAACCTTAGCTTAAAAGTATAATACACAGAAAAAACCTGAATTCAAATTGAGTATAGATTCTATACTCAATTTGATTCGCAACAAAAATGAAACTGGTTGTCTCATTTCGAGTTCTAAGGTAAAAGTATCAAAATGAAACAGGCAAGTTTCATTTTGAGAAAAAGAAAAATGGAAAAATATTGTGAAATAACGAATAATTTTGCACAAAAACATGAAATATAATAATTACAAAGAAGTAAATAACACGCTAGACTTAATATATTTGATTAAAAATTGCTTATAATCGCGTAATAAAATAATAAAGGAAATATGTTTTTAGGTTAGAAAAATGAAAACATGTGTTTTGACAATAGGAACGGTACTGCCAACTTAAATAATAGCGGTAAATTTAAAAACTTATGAAATTAATTATTATCTACGTAAATAATAATAAATAATTTTTATTTAAAAACTTCTAAATATTCGTACTGGTCAAAATAATCTTTCTGGTGTTGTTGAAATATTAGAAACAATAATTGAAATACAAAATTACTCTGCTTATGATGCCAACTTAGAAATCTGAAATTCCAGCCAATATCATTTTGAATAACATGAAGTTTGTCCCATATTCATTTCGATACCCAAAAGAAAATGAGTTGCAACAAAAATGAGTCCAAGTTTTTTCTGTGTATACAATATTGTTAAAATTAACATTCAGTACGACAGATTTCTAACAACAATCTCAAGAAAAGAATTTTTCATTATCTAAATAAATCCACATAATTTTTAAAATGATCTTCTGAATGTGTGTGTATAAAGTATCAAGAGAATATCTAAAATGCATGGAATTCATTTCATGTTTTTAAAGGAGTCACGATAAAAAAATTGCTTCCCACACCCCTTGAATCATTTCCAGCATCCCGATGGGAATATAGGTTTTTACGATTTTCTGATCGAAAGCTTTTTTTGTGGCTCAAAGATATTGATGTCAACCACGCGGCTTTTCTGGTGTATAGGTCCATATTATTATTATTATTTGAATCGTAACACTAAATGCGCGAGATGAAATTCTCAAAAGAGAATTTACGTCAGCTTTCGGTTTACTTAACCACATTGTGTAAACTCCCCAAGAGGAAGATTCTCTTCGCTCATTAATTTATTGCAAGTTTAGTCCCTAAAGACTCATTACCCAAAATTCTAACTGCTTCTAAAGAGTGTGTGGTCTCCTACATGTGTTCTAATATTCATCTATAATATATATATATTGGGAGTCATAATTCATATAATTTATAAAGTAAAGACACATTTGAGAACAAAATTTTAACTAACAATAAGAAAAAATAAAAATGTTTTATTAGTTTCAATTGTCCACTATACTGTATGTTTAGATGGACAAAGGGCTTTTGTAGTTTATAAATTTAATACAAGCATTTAATTAATTATAAATGACATTTGCAGTACATTAGCTTATTATTGTTGTAATTAAATTTAGTTCAACAGATGACATAGAATTTACCGTTTTGTACTCCTTCTAGTGTAGTATTTAACCAATTAGTCACTAAATTATATTATATATGTATAATTCTAAAATGATAGCATTGTAATGTCACGAAGCTATTTACTTAATAGCATCAAAGAGTTTGTATACCTTGATCTCAATTTTAAGCTATATTTGCACGCAAATTAAATTAGAATTTAATATAATATATATTATATTAACTATTTAAAAATTATGTATATCATTTTTAAAATAATGATAATTCCAATATGTAGTAATCATTATAAATAAATTATACAAAAGTCTAGGTAACTCAATATTTGCATTTACTACTGATTTTCTAATTTATTAATTAAATCTTACAATCATAGTAAATTGTGGGGTATTATTTAAACATTAAAATGGATTAAAATAAGATGCAAAGCTTTAATCCAAGGAAGTTAAAAATAATTTATCCGAAGATTAATATTACAAACTTTCTAAAAACTTAATTTAAAAACGTTTATTTTACCAAATTAAAATATAATGTAATACAAAGATGAATTATTTTAATCTTTTATGGTTTTAATTTAATCTGCAATCATTTTTAATGCAAGAGAATTTCATTTATCCTATAGAATGTAATAAAATATTTCATTGATAAAAATTTTATATACACTGAAAAAAAAATTATTTGAATGGGTTATTTGAATACTGTCAAATAAATATACTTAATTGAACCAAATAATTTTAATTTCAATTAAATAAAATATATTTGAACCAATAATTCCCGTATTTGAAACAAATACAATTTAATTGATTCAATTAATAGTTATTTAATACAAATGAGGCAAAATTCCTGAAATGTCCGAACAAAAAATTAAAAGTTCTCGAATTTAATCCATACTTTTCTAAAATGTTGTTATTGTTGGTGAAAGTCTAAAAATCAATTATTATTGAATATAATAAAATAGTTTTTGAATTACAACGTTTTTAATTTTTGACTTTTGAAAAAAAAAAATTTTTCAATGTACAATATTTATAAGTAGAATGCATAAAAGTTAACATATATATAATGATTTTTAAAGCTTTTTTGACGAGCTACACGCTGCTAATAAAATTTTTTTTTTTTAAATAACATTTGACCTTGAAATTCAAGGTTCATATAGGGCTTTTGGATGCTTGTTGTTAGTAAAAAATAAAATATTTTACAAACAAATAAAGTTATCATAAATCTAAACTAACCAATTGAAAGTTAAGCTAATTCCGCATCCAACGAGCCCTATATGAAGTATTTTGGATAAGTAGATTGTTAATAAACAATTGCAATGTTAACTAATTGTTTATTAACAATCTACTTATCCAAAATACTTCATATAGGGCTCGTTGGATGCGGAATTACGTTAACTTTCAATTACTAACTTCAGAATTACGGTAACTTTATTCGTTTGTAAAATATTTCATTTGTTATAAACATTAATTAATTAATTAATTAATATCTCAAAAACTTTAAAAGATCCCACTCTGAAAATTACATGTTTTGTAGGAAATTAGTCAAGCTTTCCATTGAGATAGTTAAAAATAATTTTAAAAAATCCGATTTTGAGATAAACGTAAATTAACATTTTGACCTTGAATTTCAAGGTCAAATGTTATTTAAAAAAAAAAAAATTTTATTAACAGCGTGTAGCTCGTCAAAAAAGCTTTAAAAATCATTATATATATGTTAACTTTTATGCATTCTACTTATAAATATTGTACATTGAAAAAAAATTTCTTTTTCAAAAGTCAAAAATTAAAAACGTTGTAATTCAAAAACTATTTTATTAAATTCAATAATAATTGATTTTTAGACTTTCACCAACAATAACAACATTTTAGAAAAGTATGGATTAAATTCGAGAACTTTTAATTTTTTGTTCGGACATTTCAGGAATTTTGCCTCAAATAAATGTATTTATTTGATAATAGTCAAATAACCGATTATTTGAATCAAATAAATGTTCTTTCAGTATATGTACGATCCTTTATAAAGGTCGTCAAACTCAACACTCACGCGAGTAATTAAAGAGAGGATAAAAAAAAGCTCTCTTTCGGAGAGAACAATTCTCGTTGACAAGAGTTTCTGTCTTCTCCTTTTACAGATACTTTGAGTCTGGGGGACCGTACAATGGGCAGTATAGAGAGGCACTCAAGCCCAGTTAGACCCCGACAGCAAATGCTCGATCACTCGACGGGGTTGAAGACGAAACTTGAGCCGTCATTCGACTATTCACAGACTACCAATGTCACGGCCCTCGTAGGCAAAACTGCCTATCTCACATGTCGTGTTCGAAATCTTGGCGACAAAACAGTAAGTTCAACACTCTTTTATAATAAAAAATTCTTTAAGCTTGTCAAAAAAAATTCTTATGTCAGCAAAAGTTAAATTACAAAATGAATAAATAATTTTTGAAAACTAAAAAAAAATTTATATATATATATATATACAATATATATATGGAGATATTTCACGTTACTATATAAGGTGTAACGTAATTTTTGCTCTCAATAATTACTCTTAAGTTTAATCTCTAAATTTTTACTGTAACAACTAACGAATATTGTTGGTTACTAAAATCACTAAACTTAGACTAAATTTGATCTCAGATTCAATACAAAATGATTCAATATTTAGAACTTAAATTTATGTTAATTCAAATCTTAGAAAAATCAAAAACCAAAGATATCAGAAAACAATAATCGACATAAGCAAAACGTTACGGTGCGACTTAACTTTTTATTCTTCCGGACAATCCCTGGCATGGAAAAACGCCAGACAACTTTTGTATCACCAATATTGTCAACCGGATTCAAGTATAATCTAAATCTCAATTCGTAAAACTTATAACTAATCAAAATACTAATTAAGATCTACCAATGGTTTTTACACATGCCAATGCTAGTTAGTTATGCAGGTCGTGGAGAGAGGGATGGGTTTTTAACAATAAGAGAGTTGATGGTAACAATAAATAATTTGTAAACAATAAAAGAACATTATATTTTCAATGGAATCAACAATTGATATTATATTATTTTTCTTTATAAACTGTAACTTGACTTTATTAAGTTGTTATTAACAATAGAAAAAAGGTGAAACATTATTATAAATAATTATTAAAAATGACTTACAGTTATGCTTTGCATCGATGAATAGACCCGACAGAAAAACGAGTTATTGTAAACTAATTTGGACTTTAAATTAAACTAATTTTATAATAATTGAACTTTAATAATATTTTAATTTTATAAAAACTAGATTTTATTAATATGACTTTAACAACAAACTGTAACCTAAAATACATACTCAAAAACTATTGAAAGCTAAACATGTTGACTCGATGATGACTGGATGGCAAGAGAGATAGTTTGAAAACTAAATTTTAATTCATAAAAAAATGGATACTAGATGACGCAACGATTTTCTTTAATCTTAACCAATCAGAATCATTTTCTTATCTTACTTCTCCCAAAATTCTGAATTACTAATACAAACTAAGCGACTTTTCCAATGACAAACTCGCGATATCTTGAACATTGAAACTTGTCAATAACCGAATTAATAGCTTCTTTGTTAAATAAACAAAGCCTGACAACTTAAAACTAACTTAAACTAAATTAATGCAAAATTCCTTAAAAATGTAGCGCCAGTATTTCAACTGGACTTGTGTCAAGTATAGGAAATTCTCAAAAATGCGATAAACATTAAATCGTTATTGATACCAAATTTTAAATGATAAAAAAAATTATTTCAACAAAAAAAAATTTGTATTTTAAAAAGAATTGAATTATACGTTGAATGTTATAATTCTATTTTATGAAAACAGGTCAAATTGCAAATGTTCCCAAAATATATACGGAAAACAAGCTTTCAAACATGCGTTGGAAATGTTGATTTTGCTTTAGGCGTTGAAAGTATATGATATTTAGTGAACCGCGCATTTTGAAAGTACGATCACAAACCGATTTTGAAACGTTATCGTTCTGACAATAATAAATTCACATTTCACTTCAACAAAAACCAAAGCATTACAATGTTCAAAACGTGTTTTGTTTCCCCCATATATATATATATTATTGTAAAGTGCCTTGAATATTAATTTTGTATACAAATATGTATTAAATTACATCATTTAATCTGTACTTTTTTATGCATTTAATATTTAATCAAGGAAGGAATTGTATATTTTTATTTAAAAAAAAATAACAGAAGCAAAAAACAAAATGTATACATGAAAAACAGGAGAATTTTAATAAATAAATTTTTCAAATGCTTTTGAATAATCATTTATGAATTTCAAAATCGTTTTTACTACATATGAGAATAAACGTGTGTTAATGATTCAATGACACTTTTTATGGATCATTAAAAATGAAATGTGCAATATAAAAGCTGGCGCAAAGGTGAAAGTTAATTAAGCAATTTTGAATCGAATATATATAGCGTCATTTTGCTATAGGTGAAAATTAGATTTCCAGTATAAATGTGTAAACAATTCAAGTGATTATAAAATTTTAACTATTCAATGGTTAATTATAGATTAAAAAAAAAATTTATTTTGTATAATAATTTAGGGTAAATGTATTAGTTACGGCGCGATTATAGTCACAACAATTTTTAAGTATAAAATTCGACATTTCTATTGAAAAAGGTCAATTTAAAACATATTAAACTAAAAGCTTATGTTATTTAGATAATAAAAAAAATGTTAACTTTACAAAAATCAATTATTTAAACAAATATGAGAAATTAAAACTAATTCCGTAATTTTCAATTACGGCCCGTTTGAATCAGTTTCTGTGCGTCAATTACGGTGAGGGGAAAAATTTGATCTTAAATAATTAAATTAATTATAAATAAAAATAAAAAATATTTTAAAAAAATAAAAAATTTATTTTTGTGATTTTTTTTAAAGGAATATTTATTTCTTTAAATGAAAGTTTTTCTATATTATTATACATCTTTTAGTTGTAACGATAGAGTATCGTAGTATAGTCGACCAGCGAAGAGAAAAAAAAATAGACAGCGTTACTAGTAGTGTCACTCTCTTACCCCACTACTCGTTGTCACCTAGCTGCCAGTGATATACCTTTCTTCTCGCACCTTTTTCCTCAGTCATCTTCCGACTCACCTAGAGGTGTTTCTCTGGCGAATTGGAAGCGACTCACTCCTGGCTACCTGGTGCTCAGTAGAGGTGTGTCTCTCTGAACAACGGAGCCTTCCTGTCTTCCTAGAAGAAGCTGTACTTCAGCCTGTAGGTGATTCTGTGATTAGGTAACTACCTTTGACTTCGTCTTCATGGACTCTCTGTAGGAGCTTCTGCCAGAGACCGTGATAGACACCTTCCTTGTACTTGGTGCGTCTTCCTCGCGACCACTTTGTAGGTGTGTCTGAGAGGATACGAGTATGACGTCACTACCACGATCACCAGAGTACTGTCCGTTCCTAAACGTTCCTAGTTCACGACAAGCAAGAGTATCCGGTACATACCTGATCCTATACCTAATTGACTACCTCCTAGTATTCCTGTAGTCAATTACCTATTATTGTGCACCCTAGTTATCGTTTTCCGTGATATAGCATAAATATACATCTAGATGATATATTCGGAAAACCCCTGGGTGAACGCGACCACGTCATCGTGAAGGTACGGACGTAGTATGAGACAGGAAAAGGCCCGTGCCATTCGAGTAGAGGGCGTTGCGATCAATCGAAAGAACAACCATTGTTAACTGCGACGCTAGTTAAACTCAGTTTCTTATGTTTTAATGTTTTAGATTCATTCTTTATCTATTGTATTATATAGATTCTTTTGTTCATTTATTATTTTATGTTATAATTTTATTTTGTATAATTTATTATTCTATATGTAAACAATATATTCTCTTTCGAAGGTTTTAAATAAAAACTCGTTAATGACTACACCTCTCCTTTAGATTATAGTAAGCAATATAGTTCCAAACTAGCGAGAATAAAAGAAACTAGTCAAAATATGTACCCGGACTCCATCCGGCAAGCAAATCCTTAGGCAAATAAAAATCAGATCATTACATAGTGTATTTAAAAAAATATTTTATTCATATCAATATTAATTTTTCTGTCCTATGCATACGATCTCCCAAGGGTCCTTGAAAAAATGTGTCTCGCGGTGACCAACAGAAACTTATGACAGGATCGTCTGAAATCAAAAAATAAAATATATTCTGTTAGTTTATGAGAAAATGTTGTCGTTGATCAAAGGAATTAAAAAATACCACTTTTTCACAAAATGTCAGCTAAAAAAAAAATATTGTATTTTCATGAAAATAATCGTCTTAAATTGTTGATTAAATTAATAATTTTAATTTTATTTAAAAAAACCTTCAATCAACGACAACAAAATGTAGTTGAGCTTATGTGAAAATTTGAGCCAAATCGGTTCAACGATTTTCCAGATATTGTGGTCACCAACTTAAAAAACGTAGTTTTGAGAAAAACGAGTTTAAAGTTTAACAAACAGTTTACATTGAGAAAATTTTTTTTGCAAACTTGAATCGTTTATTCTAGGACCATATAGTGGGTCTTCCATTTCAGTTGCAGCTTTTAGAACTTTAATCTGATATTGTCTTCGAAGCATTCTTCTCTCACTGGTGTTCTCATGCGCCCTTTTCTCAGAGATCGAAGTCCGATTTACGTCCTCTTTTTTTTCGAAAATATTCCTTGAATCTTAATAAAAAAAATTTTCACAACAGTCAAATATATATGCTTAGAGAAAATGCAAAAAAATCAATTTTTAAAAAATCGTGAATAAGTATAACTTCTTAAAACGCGCCGTTATTGATACACTTACCCTATTATTTTATTTATTTTTAATTCAAAATCAAAACTGTACAAATACTTAAAAAATGTTGTGTATATTAAATTTTATAAATAAAACTAAAAAGTACGTTTCTGTGCACATTAAAAATGTATTTTCATTACATTATTTCAATGCAATTGACAGGCAAATTTGTGTCTGGAAATAAAGAATCACTTAACTACATTTCTGTTCGAGAGATTAATAAACATAAAATTCTCCAATTAGAAGATAAATGTTAAAAATTATATGATTCCACTTTTTTTATAACTGTTTTCAAAAATGTAGAGGTTATAATTTGCACCTGATGATATTACCTGTAATAAAGTGAGACATGTAGAATGTGGGTCATCCCAGTAAAGTTAAAAACGAACATAACGCACTTGCGAGTCATATAGTATTAGAGAGTTCCTAGGGGAGTAAAGATCTTGTTCCACTTTGTCAGCAGCGTTACAAGTTAAAAAGAAGTTATTATAAACTCTACATATTACAAAGTAAATATGTTAAATTGACAGCATTTTTAAATGACTAAAAGGATCTTCCTGTATTTAATAAAAAATTTAGTAAAAAAAATTCACTTATATGCAAAATTCATAATCTCGCAATTTCAAAATCTTTTCTCTTCACATCAGTCAAAAAGAGGAAAAAACCATTAAAATCCTCTATTATCTTGTCTCTCGAACCGAATTTAATTAACCTTTGGCATTCATCATTGTTGACAACTTCATTTTGTTCAATTGCTTTTTCAGTAGACATGAAATTGATTGGATTAAATTTTTCTTTTTTGAGACATATTTTAAACGTTTGTTTGATTAAAGCATTTTTTTTCTTGGGTATATTTTTTTCCCTCTTATAGTAACGTAATTTCTAAATCAGCATTTATTTTTTTTTTGCAAATTTATTTCTAAAAGGAATTTATATACATTGCAGCATTGCTCATTTTGCTCCTTTTAAAACTTGTATAATTAGCTAAATTACGGAAGGTTTAAGAACAAAATTATTAAGATTCGAAGTTGCATTCACATTTCTCCTGGCGAACTTTGCTTCATTAAAGTATAAAGATATCTTGCTCTATATATATATAGTCGTTAACACGAGAATTACTGAAACTTTATTGGGTCAAATTCAAGCCTCGTCATGGATCAAATAGACTTATAAAACTTATGTCACGAAAAGTTTTGCTTACAATATAATATACAAGACTCATAAATAACATTATTTATAAATTATGAGCTTTTATTATGCTTTCCATTTTGTAGAATGTAATTTAATTATTACCATAAATCTTGTTTGTTTTTTTTTTATTAAAAATCGTAATTATTGAATAAGGATAAAGTAAATTAATGGTAATTTAGCATTATTAAGAAATCATTTTTTTTTTTTTTGAAATTATACAAATAGAATTTTAACTATTAGGGACGGTCGTGTGTCTATGTGATGTCGACATTCGCACGATTTACATTATTTCCCACGAGATAGTTTGTTTTCCTTCAATTGAAATTCCTGTTAGAAGGAAAAAGGATTCGAATGCTTTGGATTTGCTTCCTTTGAAACGTTCAATTAAATATTCAACAGTACCTATATATTTTTCCTATTTTGCTCTCTCTCTCTCTCTCTTTTTTTTATTTCTCTTTTTATCTCTCTCTTTATCTGTCACTCAAAAGATGTTTTTTATTCAAAGTAGCAGAATTTTGATTGAACTTTCAGAATTACATTTCAAAATTAAATAAATAAAATCATTGAAATTTTCAAATCTTATCTGTAACTGTTTTTTAAATTCAACTTTAGAGATTGCTATAAAGAAAGAAGGCGCGATAAAACACGTCTTTTTACACTTTGTTATATATACCTATATATATAATTCTATCTTAAACTATATTTCTTCGCAAAATCCTTACGTTTTACTTCCATTTCCTTTGAAGACAAGTGGATAATTCGTGACACCATTAGGTTGTCGAGTCTGAGTGGTTATTGTCTGAACAGCTGCTTTTTCGGGAATTTACTTCAACCAGCGTCTCTAATAAGTTTTTCTTTTTCTTCCGCGGCGCCTCAGTTTCTTTTTCACAATCATCCCGCACAACTTTTATTTTATCTGTCAAATCTAATTTCTTATCATTATTCCTCCTTTATCCAATAAAAGAAGAAAGTATATAAAAAGTTAAAAACAATCCGACAATGAAATTTATTGTAATCTTTTTTTTTGAAAAAAAAAGATTATAAGTAAAATTATTTAAAATTTTATTTTTTGTTCAGTTTCGGCTTTTTAGAAGAAATTATGCTCGGGGCAAATATAAAATGAGAGTTTCTTTTATATTTTTTCCCGTTGAGATTTTTCAATATCTATTTAAATGACATTTTTATACTAAAAAATCAAATATTATATACTATATAATATATATATTAATTAATTCTTCTAAAAATTAAAACCTAAAAGAAAGAATTAACTGCTATATAAAACGGTAGTGTAATCATCATAATTTTTCTGCAATGCTCAGTAGAAACGAAAATTGAATTTGTTAGAGAGAAGGGACCGTTTATTAACCCTTTAAGAACCTCCTGGAAACTTTAATTTCTAGAAACGCGTTTAAATGCACATAACTTACTGTTAATCACAAAACCTTACTCCCTATGCGTTCAACGATCACACACACATAAGAAAAAATATTTTACAAAGGTTGTGGAATGTAACGTTTAAGTTCATTCTTTCGTTCAAGTTTTAAGTTCGTGAAAAAATTAAGTGCTTTCATAAAATGCATCGAGTAAAAAATTTTAATTACATAACATGATTTTCACAGGTAAAACATAGGCTACATATATATATATATATATATATATATATATATATATATATATATATATATATTTATATATATATTTATATATATATATATTTATATATATATATATATAAAGTTAAAATGTATATATATATATATATATATATATATCTAAGGGAATAATTAAAATTTCCTAACGACTTTCACCCACAGTTTGTTTGCATTTTTTTTCTTTTTTCCCTGGCCACATCATTCTCCAGACGTGACAAAAAAGTGTCCCTTGAGATGTGGGGATAGTTTTCGCATATATATACAGAAACATAGAGTTTATAACACACGTTTTTTAAAGTTCATTCTCGTATCATATTCTATTATTTATAATCTCTTTTGAAAGCCAAAAACTGGTCTATATATTGGGGTGCAAAGAATGAGTTTTTTTTTACATTTAAGCTTGACTAAAGAGGGTTGTAAATACTTATCAATTTTGACACATCTACCTTTGTGTTTACTCAGCGTCCATTAGGTCAAGTGTGGCAAAAAAAAATCTATCCCCTTGAGGTCCCTTTTCACACGAAACGGTTAGTAAAAAGGGAGCTGAATTTCAAAATGTGTTTCACAAATTTCACTTTTTAAAAATAAAATTCATCAAAGAAAAAAAATTCTTGCGAATATTATTTTAAAAAATATACCCGTGTTGAAAAATTTCTTGATAAATTATAATCAAGATAGTAACTGTATAGTAAACGACTTGTGTAACTGGTCACGTAAAAATCACGTAAAAAGTATCGATTATCGGTCGCGGGTATTATATTATTAAATATTAATTGATCACAATCACACCGAGAAGAGAGGCCGCTGTTTAGCGACGCTTTCGAGTTTGATTCGTCATCCATTTTAATCTCATTCTGGTGTCCGTAGACTCAAGTTGTGTTCTATTCTTCTTCGTGTAAAATAATTAAAATTTGAAATTATGAAAATGAGACGAGGCTTCATCGTCGTCGTCAAATTGGCGGTGAGTTCCTAGTGTTAATTTATGACTCGTTTTTCTTCTGAATCGATCTCATTATTATTTGAAAATAAATAAATTGGAATCTTGACATTCGGCCTTCTGCCATTTTAGTAATTTCTTTAAAATTTGAAGTGTTTATATTAATAAATAGTATTATTGTTATAAATTTTGTTTAATTAATGGAATTCCTGAGCTGGTTTTAGTTTTTCCTAAGTAGAATTATAAAATTGTCGGGTTATTTAACTAATTTTCTTGGTTTAGTTATTTTCCATAAAATAACTTGGCGTCTTGGCAAATTAATAATTAAAAAATGTAGATAACGTTGATGGAATTTAAATAATAAATAAAAATTAATGAAAATAAAATTAATAATCAATTAAAATCTACGTTACAGTATATAGAAACTAGAAAGCATAACTATCCTGACATTTCTTAATACTCTAGATGCACTAGATAGTTTCTACAAAGTTTAAGTATCTAGAAACGAGACAGTTTAGATAAAGTTTAAATATTTAGAAACTAGATAGTTTCCACATAGTTTCAGTACTTAGAAACTAGATATTGTAACAATTCTGTTCTTTTAAAATAATCTAGATGCACTAGATAATTTCCATATAGTTTATGTATCTAGAAACTAGATAGTATAACTGTCCTGACCTTTATAAATAATATAGATACACTAGCTAGTTTCCATCAAGTTTAAGCATCTAGAAACTTGTTTGTAACATTCCTAGCTAGTTTTCTAGATGAAAGTAAAATTAATTAAATTTTTTTTTTAATTTAAGTTATTAATTTTTGTTATTTTTCATTTTAACAAGCTCGTTACTACTTTTGATTTAAACAAATAGAAATTTCTTTTGATTATTTTTATGATCTGAACTAAACTTATGGAATGAGAATATTTCTTTTATTTGATCAAGGATTAACTAAAAATCTCATCTCAGCGATTCTCTCTCTCAAACACACACACACATAGATATTTATCACTGATTAACTATATTTATACAGCTGTATCACTTAAATAGAAAAATCCTTTTGTAAATACTAAAGAATTTTCGAGAGAAATTATTTATACACCATTATACGCTATTCTGCTATGTATACCTATTTTGTTCAGTCTTTCATGCGATATAATCGATTTTTTTTATTAAATATAATGTCCCAATATTGTCTGACTATTCTTGTACCTGTGTTACTTGTTAAATTCGAATTTATTGAAATATTGAATATTTCAAAATGCAAAGATTAATTTAATTAATTTAGCAACTGTCTAATAAAAATGTTCTATAATTAGTACTTAACCTGAAGCTCACGCTGTCTCAAATAAGAATTATATCAGAGATATTATTTTTCGAATCAGATATAATTTGATTACTTTTAGTTAAATTTATTTATATTTATTAAATATGATTCTTTACTTTAAACAAAATAAATATTCTGAAAGAAATATTTTTTTCTCTTTACATATAAACGTTAAAAAATCTTAAATTAACGTCTGTCCAATACCAAAGTGCTGTGTCTGACTATAACATGATTTTGCTACTTAACTCATGAGTAGAAAATTTTTTCAAGTATGTAACGAAAATATTGATTTTCGTCGGTAATTTTTAAATAGATTTCCTTTTTTTAACTCATAAGTATTTGTCTAACTGAATAATAGAATAATATCCAATTTATACCAAAAAAAATCATCATCCATAAAAGATTCAATTGATAGTAACTATATGATTTATTCATTCAATATATTTTTCTCCAATTTCTTTTCTTTGCTTGAAAGGCGCATAAGAAATCCATTGGTGTGACATATACCAGATTGAAAATTAATTGAAAGAATAATTTAACGAAAATTTATAGTGACCAAGTAAAAATTTATAAGATGATGATTTTGACATGATTTTCTTGATATTGAAAATCGTTGGACTATTCAAGTGGTAAGACGATATGATATAGAAGCTTTCATACGATGAATTTTCCGTTGATTCCTTAAGTAAGAGGAATATTAATGACCATATTTCAAATATAAGAGCATTTTTTCAATGTGCTGAAAAGCTATCCTAAAAATTTGCAGTAAGCAATATAATCAAAAATGTTTTTTATTTCTAAACATTTTTTATTTTCTTCTATTTTTGGTTTATCATTTTTTTTTTTACTATAACAATTATTTAATCACGTTTTAAAACCGATAATGTCTGTATAATTTAAATCAAAATGCAAATAATATTAATAAGAATAATAAATATTACTAATAATATATTAGTAAATAATATTACTGATAAATTTTGCTCAGGTATCTTGGATGCGATCGAGAGACATACATATTTTGACTGCCGGAGGGTATACATACACAAGTGACCAAAGATTTCAAGCTCTACACAGGCAAAATTCCGGACAAAACAGTGAGTGGTCGGAATGGACGTTATGTATCAAATGGGCTCAAGAACGAGATCAAGGGATCTACGAATGTCAAATTTCGACGATACCTCTGATGTCTCATCCATTTCGACTCAATGTTGTCGGTAATTTACTTTTTATATGTCAATAAAAAAAAATTCTCTTAAAGCTCAGCTTTAAATATATTCATCAAAAGAAATCTATAAATTAATACAAGATTAGAAATATATTCTTTAAACTTAGATAAAGATATAAAAAAATATTTAAAAAAAAACAGTTAAAGTAGACAATAAAATAAAAATATAGTACAAATTTCAAATTATTTATATATTATTAAATTCATCGAAAAACACTGATAAAAAAATATTGAAATGTCTACGATTGTAAAAGAGGTGAAAAAAAAGTTCTAAAAAGAATTTTTGTTTGTCCTTTTTTTTCTAGTACCCACGGCGGCGATTTTAGGTGGACCTGAATTATATGTGGGAGCTGGAAGCACAATAAACCTTACGTGTGCGATCCACTTTAGTTGGGAACCCCCGGCTTACATCTTTTGGTATTATAACGATGCCGTTCTATCTTACGACAGTCCCAGGGGCGGTGTGTCAGTGATAACCGAAAAGGGAAGCGACGTCACCACTTCATGGCTGCTCATTCAAGCAGCACAACCAACTGACTCCGGGGAGTACAGTTGCAAGCCAAGCAACGCCAATACCGCAAGCATAAGGGTCCACGTTCTCAATGGTAAGTGTAAACTTGGATAAACTTCCCTTCGATTCACAGTAAACGTAAATTGGAACTTGACAACTCGCCGACAATCTGATACAAGCAATATCGTTAGGGAACTCTATTCACAAACTTTGTCATCTCAATTTTCAAACTATTATGATCTTCATCATTCGGATGAATAATTAATTATTATTATATACACACTTCCAGTGACCGCAGATTATAATTATTATTTCCTTTTAACTTTTCAAGATAATAATAATGTAATAACAATAAAAATTTATTTATGTAGCATAAAAATTATAAGTTTCCAACAGTCAGCAATTTTGGAAATTGTCCATGTCTTATAATTTAACATTTATTTATGTTACGTCGTGTATATTCGTCCTTTAAAATTTTTTCTTTTATTTCCTTTTAAATATATTTAATTAGATTTTCGTTCTATCTATTTTTTGGGTTTTGTAAAATTTATGGATGATAAACTTAAAAATCTAAATCACAAAAATCAATATTTTATATTTTCAAATAATTATATATATTTGAAAATCTTAAAAAGCAAAAAACAATACAATTTTACAAACATCCTTAAATTCAGCAAATCCCAAAAATCGATATTCCTCTTTCTTGTCAAACTCCAGGCGCCACAAATTTAAAAACTCATTAAGTGTCCCTTTACAATAGCGTTACATCCCGAGCAAAAGGCGAGGTTGAATTTAATTTTAATTAATAAAATCAATTCTAAAATTTTTGAGGAATGGTAGGCTGATTAAGTCAAGTTGGTAAAGCATGACCATTTATTTTTATGTGAGAACGTTTGTTCCTATCGATCCTACGAGGGTCGTCTTTTAATTTATTTTACTATTAAATTATTACCTTGCCACTTATAGTTGTTAATTTCAATGAAGAATTTTTTTGATATAAATGTTGTATAATTTATTAATATAAGTGAATGAAATCAAAATGTTACAATAATTTTTGATGTTAAAGGGGGTTGTTACAAAGAACTGTGAATTTTAAAATATTGTACTTACAATTATCTCTCTTCTGAGGGCAGAAACAATTATAAATTGAAAAGTTAGCACTTGTCCTTCACGCTGTGAGTTTTTACAACTCTTAAAAAGGTACGGTTGGGACTTCCTAACAGTTTTTAGTTCGTAAACTCTGAAATGCACACACGTCACGTTTGCAAAATCGTTAAATTGAGAATACACTAATACGACGATTAACAATAAAATTTAATGAATGACAAGCTCACAAATCTGGCGATGATGATTACTTGCTCTAATACCAAACAACGAGTAAACATATACAGTTCGAGATGAAAGAGTTACAGTCGTAATAATTTTAAAGTAACCGAAGGGTGAAACTCACGATGGTAATTTCATGTTATGAAACGAACTATGAAATGATTCCGGAGCAAATGACAATGCATTTGCATGGGTTTTTATACTAGAAAATCATCCTCAGTGGGAGTAAATAAGTTCAAAGATCACCCCATCTCCAAGCTTGACTCTTAAATTTTTCATAGAATTGAGACAATTCTCAGAACTTAGATGGACACCTGCATCCTGTATCGCATAGCGCAAATATCGCTATTACATCGTCTACAAGCATCTTTCAATAGTACAACGCTAGAAAACTGTGCTTGCACCTCTCTAAACGCATACATGAGTCATAAGTCTAGTAGTTGATAGAGAATATTGTGCGTAGAAGCGTCAAATAACATAGGTGTGATTTGTAGGAATTGACTACCATCAGGCTTTCGATATTCAAGTCAAAGGTCAGCCTATGCTATTTGATACAAGTGAGAAATTGAACATTGCATAGAATTTTATACATTATGCAGCTGCAAAAACAATTCCTAAGAATTATCTGAAGAATTACGTGGCAATCATATTAAGAAAGTTTTTATATTGAATATTATTCATACTTTTGAATAATAGCATTTTGTAAGCTTAAAATATTGAAAATATGAGGTTTGTTATTTTAATAAAAATAGGTAATTGAATTTTGAATAATATTGCAAAAAGAAATAATTAATTTTGAAGAATTAGAGCAAAAACTAGTATAGATAGTTTTCGCTCTTCTTCAGCAACCACACGCGATTCCTCAGCATAGTCCTTCTGTAGCGGAAGGTCACCTTCAGTGATTCATCTACGCGCCATATCTATACTCACATATGTATGCCTGTACGCACTATATACATTCGTTCGATCGCGTCGAGTCATCACATGCAGGCAGAGATATGCGTATATATAGATATAGACACATGTAATTATATATATGAGTCAATGCTTCAATATAATATTAGAAATAATTATAATTTTAGATTATCAATATTTCTAGATTAAGAATAAAGAATTGTTTACTATTATTTTTACTACTTATTCTATGTCTATATAAACAAAATTTAATATATTTTTAAATTTTATGTTACTGGGATCTAACAATAGATTTATAGTATTTTTATTTATTAATCATAAATTATATAAAGTTTTTACAAATAAATTTATTCTTTTAAAAAGTTTATAATAATTATAAATTATTATAAATATATACATATATTCAAAATTATTTATAATTATTATAAACTTTTGTATATTTGTGTGAATGTATAAAATTTAGATTATTATAAATTTGGTATAATTTTTATTATTAACATTATAGAATTGTTAATTCATTTTTTATTAAAAACGTAACAATTTTCAATAATATAAATATGTGAAAAATAGGAAAATTATAATGTATTCATAAAATGCAATTGGAAGTTGGAAGAGGGTAGATGAAATCAAGGAAATGGAAATGTAATCAACCTCTTTTTTCAAGACCCTCCTACGCATTTTGCCCCTAAAAATGGGACGGGCCCAAATTTGCCAATAAGGCCACTTTTCTTAATGAGTTTTCTCACAATTTTCTTTTCTTTAAATCAATACAAATTTTCTCAACCTACTTTTTCTTTTCTGCAACAAGCTTTTCCCTTTCTTCGAGAATTTCCCCCTAAACCTTTTTTCCCTTAGAAAAATTAATGGTGTGAATTTGCATATAAAAATTTATGTTTCTATAGAAAAATATATCTGAAACATTCAATTTTACATTTCAACTTATTCATCTTAATATATGTTTCTTTTAACAAGTTTGAATGCGGTGCGGTATGGTTCATATAAAAACATACAACAAAAACGAAAAAAACAGATACAAGTTCTTTTTGTTATTATCCTTGGATGGATGGATGGGTGGATGGATGGTTGGTTGGTTGGATGAATGAATGGATGAATGAATGAATGAATGAATGAATGAATGAATGAATTATTCATTTAATTAATGAGTGAATCACAGAATAAATAGATGGATTGATGAATGGATGGATGGATAGATGGATGGGTGGGTTGTAGGCCTATCATTGCCGTCTAGGTCCCTGATCGGGACTCTGCATCCTTTCTCTCATTTTCTTTCATTCCCGTGTAGCCTGGTATTCGTTAATGAGAGTTTGTTTTTCTAACCTATCACGTCTAGCACCTATGGGCATTCTCAGACCATCTTTGATTTAATTATTGTCTTTCTCAGTGCGGCAAAATCCGACTGACTATCCACGAAAATGTTATTTCTGATTCCCAATTTTTCTTTTTCAAGAGACCTAATGGCGCAGTTCATAAATGCACAGACTTTCGCTTGCCAAAACGTGGTACATTTACCTAGATGTATTTTCACTTTAATGCAACCAGTTATTTAGTACATTCCCCAATCTGAGCCCTTTTCGATCTTAAAGCAGTCAGTGAACCACACTTTGCCCCCAAGTGGAAATCCATTCTTCCAGTTTTCTCTAGAAACTAGATTTTTAAATAAGGTTTTTAAACCTTTTGATCATTCTGCTCTATACCGTTCATAATGCTAAAATAGACAAAATGGAATCTGAATAAAGCGACGAGCTGTTTGCATCTTTTAAAACTTCCAGCTAAAATCGACGAGGTGTCCATACAATTATGCAAGGTAATATGAAACCATTCAGTCTTCCATCTACCCAACCACCCATCCATCCATTCATCAATCCATCTATTCATTCCGTGATTCACTCATTAATTTAATGAATAATTCATTCATTTATTCATTCATTCATTCATTCATTCATCCACCCATTCATCCATCCATCCAACGATAATAACAAAAAGAACTTGTATCTGTTTTTTTCGTTCTTGTTGTATGTTTTTATATGAACCATACCGCACGAGTTTTCAACCTTTTATGGCTGATAACATTAAAATTTATCATTTTTTTGAATTTTGATAGAGGAAACATTTATTCAGAATTACTAAAACTACAACATATCCAAAAACTAGCCATTTTTACCGAGAACCAAAATTAATGCATTTTGTGCGGGGTCCTTTAATCTTTGCTCTAATCTTAGAAGAGGGTAAACGGACAAAGAAAAATAATATTTTTGATGATCAAAGGTTGAATGGGGGTGTTTTGGACATATTAACCCCTAAATAATAAAGGTTTTTTAATCAAAAATCGCTAAAAAATAAATAACAATAATATTTTTAATTGTGAAGCAATTGGCTTAAAAATCGTTACTCGGGGGTTTAAGGCGTCACTGATTACGAATCTGAAGTTAATTTTTTTTAAATTCAAAATGGCGGATTCAAATAGCCGGACTGCATTTATAAAAAATTATTTAATTGGCTTGAAAATCGTTACGGGGTCGCTAATTACGAATATGAGGTTAGTACCCCCGACTAACGATTTTGAAGCCAATTAAATAATTTTTTCTGAAAGTCGTCCGACATTTTGGAGCCGTGATTTTGAATTTTGGAAAACTACCTTCAAATTCGTAATCGGAACCCCAAAATATTTTGAGTAACGAATTCTAATCAAATCGAATAATTTAAAAAATTTCCTTGAGAATTTCAAAATTCCTGTCCGAAACCCTAAATAAGGTATTCATTAAATTTTAAATAGAGCTCTAGGCAATAGAGAACAGCGTCACAGCTATGTCCGGCGCTAGCCTGTTTCTGTGACGTGGGCCACACTAGAGGTAGGGAGAACTGCAGTGGGATTACTATTAGCGCTAGTCGCTTTGTAGCACTTTTCGTTATTTAGAATTAAAAATTTACATATTTTTAGTGAAATTTGATCCAAATCATGACCAAAATAAAATACCGTTGACAATTTTTTCAAAGCTTAAACTGCAAGATAGTAATTTAGAAGAAAATATAAACATAACCCCTCTAGATAAGGACATTGACATAGAATTCATGTCACTTTCCTAAAATATTTTATCTACGTAGCAAACAAATACAACATGAAGGTGAAATCAATTCTCTAACTTCATGTTTGCCAACTGTTAGTTTCAAATAAAATAATTAACTATAGTGACGAAATAAATTATACTTTAATATTGCAAATAACCTATTAATTTAATAAATAACAACTTTAAAAATAAATTATCTAGTTTAATGTTAAAATAATTTATAAAGGAAATAAATTTTTTTAATTTAATTTAATAAACAAAAATTAAGAAAATTAATCTAATTGCAAGTATTAAAAATAATAATTGCATGAGATTTAAAATTAGGATATTCTTTACCAGCCTAAATTTAAAAATTGATAAATTTATTTAATTAAATTGATTTAAATTTTTATTTCTTGAAAAACTTTTTAACTCACAAAAAATGCCCTATACATTTTTTTAGTGAAACCTTGCGTGAGAACAAAAATTCTATTTCCGAGGTTATATCTTCAAAATTTTTTAAATTAAATTTTTTCCCCATTTTAGACAATGTCTAATAGAAACTTTTAATCCTATGAAAAAGATAATAAATATAAATGCAATAAATATTTAATTATTAATATAAAAAAGAAAAGTAAATAGTTTATTATTATTGGATAAAGTTGAATTATTTTCTTGATTTTTTGTAAGGATAGAAATTTAAAATAAATGTTTTCTTCATTTCTTTATTATTATTATCTTTTATTTAGTTTATAATTATTAATTATAAAAAAATTTAAGGTTAAAATTTATTAATAAAAGTGTTAATATAATAATATTAATAATTATCGTTGCCTCGAATTGCCTTTTTTATAACTTTTGAGATTTGAAGTGTTACACTTGAAAAATTTGTTAGGCTTTTAGATATTTCTTTTAATTACTTCATTTCTTTATCGTAGGAAATCCTTATGAATTTGATACATTCTTGATTCTAAAAAAAATTGTTAAATTATAAAATAAAACAAATATGAGTTGAAAAATACACAGAAGAACAATTGTACCAACCTAAATCTATCAAAATGATACCATTTTTTTAGTCACCCGATAGCAAGAAAATTTTTTAAAGTGAATGTAGCTTTGAATCGCTACGTAGCGAAATCTTCGTAGCGCTGTCGCTATTTGTAATCCCACTCCTGGTGTTGACCCCATTAGGACCCTATTTTAATTCATGAAAAAGTTTAGTTTTTTTAACAATAAATTTTACTTTTATTTTCCAAAAATAGTTAAATTACTTATTTTTGTTATATCTTTTCAATTAATCTTCTCGATTAAATTAAATTAAAGACTTAATGTAATATAAATATATATTTCTATAAAAAGAAATAATATAGGTTACAATTTTGATAGTATGATAAGCAGCCCTAATATAGATTGTGGTAGTCATTATGCAAGAGGTTGTAATTCAGTACGCATGGATAAATGGTCGTACAATTAGAAATTAGAGTACAATCCTCTCGTATAAATTTGAATAAACTATTCATTATAGATATATGTGTAAATAAACAATTTTTATAAAATCTTTTTATAAACAAATAGAAAATGTAGAAAATTTCCTATTATTTTTACACATTTTGTTTATTTTTTTGTGTGTTTGTTGATTTAAAATTGATAAAAATATCACATTGTGCAATGTCCTTTTTCTTTTGCAATAAAAATAGTCTGTTTATTTAATAACGTGAGGACAAATATAACATTACGAGAAAATTCTCTCTTTATGTCAGTGAGCATTTCCAAAGATATTTTCCAAGTTGTGATTGTTGGTTCAAGAAATGCACGATTTGAGTTTCATATTCAAATATATAACTTTTCGATAAATTGCATTTTCTACTAATACACAGATTTTATATGTATACATAGCAAAAGAGAAAAAGAAACAATTTTTTTTTTTAAATAATATACTGTATCTTTAAATTTGTTGTTTCGAAAAGATTAATTAATTACAAATTTTTTATCATTTTTTTTTCTGTTATATAAATAAGAAATTAAATTCAGGATTATTATTTTTAAAGTAATTACAAATTTTTTTTATCATATCTTTTAATAAAAAATTGAATTGAAAAAACTAATTTTTGTCCATTAGATGAATTTCCAAATAAATATGTTAAAGATGAATTTTGAAAATTCACACAGAGCTCTCTCTTCTCTCCTAAACAAGTAGTGACCGACACTACTTGTGTCTACTGATTTTATTGAGCTGATTTTTGGTGGGAAAAAGTATGTTTTATTTAATAATTTTATTGTTGTCAATGTTCTTTATTGCAACCTTGCAATATTGTGGTAGTGTTCCAGTTCATTTTGAATGGACATACTTTGGATGCAGCAATCATTATTGCATTACTCTTTGTTTCTTGTGTTAAATTAAATCACTTAGTTTCTCAATTTTCTCATGAAAGTTAAATAGGTCTTCTTTGAAATTTAGGTTATTAATTGGAAGTTAATATTTAATATTTAATTATTTGGACATCTCTATAAAAGATTCCAAAGGCATTTCTTATAATGTTTATCAAGTGTTATTTGTTTTCTGTGTTGCATTATGTGTACTTTTTTTCAAGTATTGTATTAATAAATTATTAATAATATTCATAATTTATTAATAATACGTTACGAAATTCATACGTAACAAAATATAAAATTAAATTCAGGATCATTATTTTTAAAGCAATGACAGAGTATGGAGGAGAGATACCTCGTTATTCGGTCATGAGAGTTTTCGTGTTAAATTTACGAGGTGAAACCTTCATATTCCTGGTTATGGGTATATCTTGAGCGTTGCAGGAAATTGCATTTCGATTCGTTTTATAAAGCTTTCATATATATATATATATAGTTTATATATAGACGAAATTTGACAAACGGGGATAGGATTTGTCCTTTAAAGTACAAGCTCAGGAGACTTTTTTCTTTAATTTAACCATACACAATGGTTTCACGTAATTTTCAAGTTCTTTTAAGTTTTCAATCGGGTACATATTTTTTATCAATTTTTTCTTTCATTTTTCATTCCCCAAAAAAGTAATTATCCCCAAAAAATATCTTAAACTTATAAAATAAACATTTTACTCCTAAAAATGTTTTATTAAAAGAACACTAAGCTATTTGAGAACTATTTTTAAAATTATAAAACATAAAAATGTAATTGAAGAAATTGTCAAATAATTGAACTATTAAAGTTTATACCGACAAACTGTCAATTGCTCCATTTGCACATAAAAAAAGGAAGAAAAAAAAATTGGAAAAAAATAGAATGATAATGTTTCAATTACGTTTGCGGATAAGTATGTAGAGAAGAGAGAGATCAACATCCCTTTTAAAATCTCTTTACTATTCCCTTTGAATTTTCTTCTAATCTTCCCAACTGAATAGCCGTTTAAATTCCTTTTGGAATCTTTTTTATATGGGCAAGCTGACGCGCTTTTATACTAAAAGAGATTTCACTTAAAATTAAATGCTTCAAATTTTTTTTTCGAATTTAATCACACTCAGAAGGAAAAAAAAATTGTATATAACTGTATTATTTAAATCTCTTTCTAATATGATTAATATTAAACGAAAATACTCTTTTTTTAAAATTAATTTTCTTTTTGCAGTCCAAAAAAGTTTTCTCATTGATTCAATAGAAAAGTTATTCTCTATCGTGGGAAATAATAATCTTATTATAATAGATGAGTTTCCTCTTCAATTATTCACAAATTATAATGAAGATAATAATTAAAATTCAATTTTGATAATATACTTTTCGTAAAATCATTATTATTATTTTATTATAATTGAAATTTATTTTTGTTTCAGGTGAACGACCGGAAGCAATGCAAACAGGAACTGCGGGTCCTATTCTCTCATCGAGTTGTCTTTTGGTGTCACTCATCATTTTGTACATATCTTCAGTGTAATCATAACAAAAATAAAAACAAAAAAAAAAAAAAAAATCAGAAGAAACTAAACCAATAACATGAAAAAAATTTCGTAAGGTCAGTGAAAATTATTTCCATTCGATACTTTTGTAATATCAACAAAAAAAAATTGTCAATCATTTTTTTTCAAATGTAATGGAAATTTTTTTTTAATTAAAAAATTCTTCCAAGTATGAAATTTCTAAAAGAAATTATTCGAAACAACAAGAAATCATTAACGGATTAGAAACTTTAAATATATATATATATATAAAAAAATGAAGAGCGAAATTTTTTCCATGTGCTTTGATGGTGAGAAATTCCTTCAACCGCTTTTACTGTCGATGCCACTACCGGTTTAAAAGCTTAATCTTGCTGAGCCTCGCAAGCCCCTAGACTACTCTCAGTCTTATGCAGGAAAACGAAAAAGGCAGAACGACAATCCGAATAAAATCTACTGCGGAAACGACTCAAGGGAAAAACGTAAAATGGCTAATGATCTTAAAAGTAGTTATCTTCACAAAAGTTTCGTTCTACCTAATACGATTTTTTTTTTAAATTTATGTTTTTAAGATTATAAACAACATGTTTTATTATTTTATATGATTTATATTTAATAGATATTTACATTTTATACATTTATTTGATCTGTTGAAAGGGAAACTAGAATAAAAAAAATACTATTTTGATAGAAAAAAATAATACGTTTATAATGAGTTCGACATACTTTTTTTCAAAATTCAAAATGACGAATCCAATATGGCGGTAGATTTTTGAAAAATTTGACGAATTTTCTTGACACTTGTTACAAGGTGAGTTTTAGCAATTGTTGAAGACGAATTTGAAATGAGATTCTTGAAATTTAAAATGGTGAATGTGCCATTTTGGATTTTTAAAAATTAACTTCAAATTCGTAATAAAATATGCCAAAAACTGCTGAATAACAAATTTCAAATGATTTCGATCAATTTTGAAGGATTTTTTCGCCATTTTGGATCAGCCATTTTTAATTTTTAAAAACTGATATCGTATTTATTATCAGCGTACTTATTTTCATCAGAATCGTCAAAAAGAAGTTAAAATCGATTCTCTCTGAACTTTTTAACAAACCAGGAATTTGATTGTGTAATTTCATTTTGATTTTCACTTATACTTTGACATTTATCTTTTTATTTTCACCTTTCATTGAAAAATTTCACTCAAATTCAAAATGAAAGTGACAATGAAAATAAAAGTGAAAATAAATAATATGAGAGAAGCAGACGCTTAGTGCCTCCATTGCAGGGTTTTGTGGCCTGCTAAGGTTACATTTACTACCATGGTAACGGTTGCTATGGTAACTGTTACCATAACAACCATACGAGTGTACGACAGACGGACGCCAAAGCGAAACTATATGGCTTTCGGGCCTGAGCCACGAAACCGTAAAAAAGTAAAAGTGAAAATGAAAGTGAAAGTAAAAATGAATGTTAAAATGAAAGTGAAACTCAAAAACAAAGCAAAAATCAAAATGAAATTAAATAATTGCACTTCAGAACAAATATTTCTTGAAGAAAAAAAAATTAGATTTATAAATTTTATTCCTCTCTCGACTCTTACTAGCAATTGCGTGAGGTTTTGATTGAAAAAATAAAAAATTTATTCCCAATTCTTGACGATAGCTTTTATTCTTCAACTTGTGACAATTTCACATGATACATTGTTTCAAATACATTGTTTAGTAGATTTTTTTGTTTTTTTTTGAAAAAAGACAAATGAATAGAAAATTGGCTACAGTTTCCGTTCTGGGGAATACAACAATGAGAGCGCAATTCAGCCATGTTTTTTGATTAATATTGAAAGCTTTTAATTAACCCGTAGAGGCAACGATGGTGAAGTCAACTCTGTATATAGTCTCTGTATCATAAATAAAATTGTGGTCAGAGCAAACGTTACGCCGAATGCAAGATGAATATTGCCGGATGGACTAAAACGTCGAATAATTTAAAGGGGTGTTGGAGGAAAGAGGGGATGGAGAAAGGGTTCTCTTGTTGCGATTCAACTTTCTATTCTGTATAGTGTCTAGTGTAACTGAACTCGTCAAGGATTCCAGTCAGTGTGTACTTTAAAGTGGAGCTACCCTTTACAAATAAAGATACACCCACCCACATACATATACATATACTGTAATGAATGCAACCGCGTCGTTCCCTTCGTTTGTAATGTTAAAACAACCATTAAATGCTTTTCGCAAACCGTACAATTCCGTACGTGTATATTTTTCCGCAGTACAATTTCTCTCAAATTTTAACAATGAATTTTTTAATTTCTCGTATATATATATATATATATATATATATGTATACATACACTGAGAAAAAAAATTTAGTGTTTGTAACAAAATTGTTTGGTTAGGCAATTTTGGTTCTTGTAACCAAATTTTCGTTAGCTGAAACAAAGTCGTAGAGTTATCTCAACCAAACATTTGGTTAGGCCAACAAAATTATATGGTTGAACATTTTTAAATTCCAACCAAAATTTGGTTACGACAACAAAATAATTTGGTTAACACAACAAAATGGTTTGGTCTGAAAAACCAAATGATTGTTTGTTGTCAAAACCAAAATTTGGTTGCGACAACCAAATAATTTGATTCGCTCTTAGCTTATAGTTTAAGAGAACAGTTAGTTTAACTTTCTCACAAGAATGGGTAGTCCAGTTGACAGAGCTCCCGACTTACAGTTTTAAAACAGAGGTTCGATCCTAGGCGGAGATGAGATTTTTCAAAGTCCACAAATATTTCAATTGAATAAATATAAATTCAATGTTAAATTGATAATAAATAAATAATGAAATAAATAAAAAAGATAAAAAGAAAGAAATAAGGTAGAATAAAATTTTTAATTTTACAAAAAAAACTGTTTGATTGATCAACCAAACATTTTTGTTGACCTAACAAAAAAAATTTGATTGAGCTAATCAAACATTTTTGTTATCCGAACAAAAAACACTCAACCAAATTTTTTGGTTGACTTAAACAAATAGTTTGGTTGCTTAAATACCAACAAAATTTTTTTGTTGGCCCAACCAAATTTTGGTTGCTTTGACTAAACATTTTTTCTCAGTGTATATATTCAAATATTTAATTTAATCTTAAAATTTTTAAATATCAACGACGATAAATAAATCAGTGTATTCTATAAGCATGTGAAAAAATTTTTGATAAAAAATGATATTTTGATTACGTTGCAAGTATATTTACAAGTATAAGAAAAGCTGACTTTGACAATGTTTTGTTACTTATATCGATTGAACAATTTGTTGTGAAAATTGTATACCGCACATTTTGCATATAAAGGACTGATCAATAAAATACAATCGAGAATAATGCAATTTGTCGTTGAAGACAGAGAAAGATCGATTTTCTGCATTTTCTTTTGTGGTATGTTAAGCACGTTTTGGTGAAAATAATGAAAGTGTCTCAAGGGTTGAGAAAGTATATATATATATACAATACCTATATATAAAAGAATACGAAAAAAAAGGAAAATAGAGCGAAAAGAGGTAAGAATAGCAAGGAATAACTCCTGGGACGGAAAGAACAGGGATAAAGCCAAAATAAAGAACTGATGTTATTACACTTTCTTTTAAAAAGAAACTGGTGAGATGTCGGGAGATTTTTTTTGCCATCTTATTTCATACAATAGAATAATTTTAACGAATCACGGTTTAACCACGACGAAAACTAATTTTTTTTCTTTCTTTTTATAAACAGACAGTTGAAGTTCCGTTTTTGTGATTTATAAATTAAATCAAGTATAAATATTTTTATAGAAAATATTTCCGTATATAAATTATTTTTCATGTACTTAAAATTAAAAATGTTTTAATTAAAATTTTTTCTATACAGACTATTTGAAATAGAAATCAGTCAATTTGGCAAATTTTCTTGGTAGGTAATTTCTTGTGCCTAAAATGGCTAAAATACCTAAAAGCAGTGCACGTTTTCTAGTATCTGAATGGCACTTTGTAGAATTCTAATTTCATTCGTCCAGTGCGGTTGGACGAGCTTCGAATTAAATTTTCACCTGAAATTCAATTGAATGTTCACAATTGTCCTGGGAAACGTACTGTGCAACTCAATCAAGAGAACTTTTCACATGTTAATAGATAGTCCTTTAAATATAATTAAATTAACTTTTCCCTTTTTATTTCGATTTAATTTTTTTTTATCCATGTATCGTTTTTCTCGACTTTTGAAAGTAGATATATTGCGTCAAAAAGAATCGAAATTGAACACTTTGTAACTATGTACATATTGAATTATTTACACATGAGTAAATGTAAATTGCATTTCAATTAAAATTGATTGATTACAATTTTAAATCGAGTTTCTAATACAAAAATTGATTATCAATTTAAATATTATTATTTTTATTACATTGTTTATAACAATAAAAATTTAGATTACTATTCTAAATTTAATTTGAAGTAATTTTTTTTTATATTGAAATTGGAAAGCGGATGATTACAATGTTTCGCGGTTAAGGCAATTGATAAATAAACTTGTTGATGATTTAAATCACTTGACATTCGACGAAGCGTATTGCTTTAATAACAATAAGTATTGTACTTTGTACTAATGCAGCGGATGTTTTCTGCCTTATGTAAACGAAGAATTAAGATTATCGGATTACAAAAGGGAAACTGGAACGCTGAAGTGTAATAAAAGACGCGAAATACTCGAGACGCTGTAGACCTTCAGACAATGCATAAGAAGCATAATCCAGTCCTGCAGTGTTATCGTTAACATAGATAGGTATTACTATTGTAAATATTATCACACGATGTTTACTAAATAAAAAAAAAGTATCAAATACATGATTTTTTATTTTTCCTTTATAGATAAAATTTATTTTTTTAATTTCCTTGTTGTTTAATATTCAAACTCGATATAAATGAAGACGTATTTAAATTACATTTTCTAATTTATTAAAACATTTAAGTTAACTTTTTTTTACAGAGAAATAAGAAATAAAAAATAATCTACAGATAATAAATTTTTATGACCTCAAAATCAATATGTCCGACTAAAGCAAAGAATGTCCAAATCAAAAATGTATTTCTTGTACAAAACAAGAAAAACAAATTTAAAAATCTTGTTTAAGGCCTTAAACATTGTTTTGGATGAGTATCATTCAAAATAGAAAAGGTATTTTTAAAATTAAAAATGGCAGACTCAATATGTCAGGTGGAAAAAATTAAAACTCTTGGAAATTAACCAAATCTCGTTATTCAGGGTTTTTTGGGATTGCTGAACACAAATCTGTGATTAGATTTTATAGTTAATTAATGTTTATATAGTATAAAATAAAAAAATTTAATTTTTTAAAGAACGAAAAATCGCGACTAACACGGAGAAAAAAGATATTGTTGCGATAACAATTTTTGGATTGTTGTTGACAGATTTGTTGTTGCTACAATTCGGAATGTTGAAATGACAATTCGGATTGTTGTCAATACAAATGTGTCTTGTTTTAACGATTATACGAATTTGCTACGTTTAACTTGTTCAGTCTGCAAATCCGTACTGTTATAGTAACAAACTTCTGGTAGCGCATCATGCGATTGCTGATGGAACAATTCGGATTTGTTGAGCTGACAGGTTTACTGCTCAATGTCACGTGTTCATCTTTACTTGCGCGTCGGTCTCGCGATTAGGGCACTTGTGCCTCTCTATTTATTTATTTATTTTAACTTAAGTTTTTATTATATAGTGAAGTGAAAATGCTCCCAGGAGAGGAGGCAAAAATGCGGGAATTGTTGTTAAAATGGGGGCTTGATGAGAAGACTGTGTCTGATTTTATTGGTAAGTGTTTAAATAGTGTTAAACATAACCAAGTATAGACTTCATTGTGATACTCGGCTGTAATTCTTAATTTTTAATATTTAATGTACTAAAATAATGTTTTATAATTGTAAAGAAAAAAGTTTTAATAAATTTTGTACTTAATTATCAATTAATTTTATTATTTCTAAAAAAATATTAATTAAGGTGAGAAAAATTTATTTGATCAACGCTTTGTTAGTACAACAAATTATTTTGTCAAACTAACAATCCAGGTATATTGCTGAAAACAATTCTGCTTGTTCACCGAACAAATCGGAATAGTTTTTATAACAATCTCGCTTTAACAAATTTTTTTTGTCTCCACAACAAATAGATTTGCTAGTTCTATATTAGCAAACTGGAATTGTTGTGCGGACTTAATTTTTAGTTGTCACAACAATCCTCTTTTCTCCGTGAATTTTAGATTTTAAATTTTGTCTATAATTCTTTTATCAGTATAATAACTTTTTTGCTAATGAATAGTATTATTTACGGCGACTGTCACAAAAGTTTTAAAATTCTGTTTTTTTTCTTGGAAATATTAATAATCCATAGATATACAAGAAAAGAATAAGTATAATTATTTTTAAATTGTGCACTTTCCAGAGTATTTTAATTTTAAATGTTTTGGGTCTATATTTCCTTACTATTGTTTTTATTATAACTAGCGATGTATTCCTCGCTCGCTCGGTTGGAGTTGTACTTGTTGTTGTTTACTTATTGTAGTTTATGTATATTATACATAATTTATGTTTTAAATTAACACTTTATTAATATTGTATTAAATTGATCTTAATTTTGATCATTTTTATTGAAGGATGCAATGACAATTGTTAAATATTAAATGTTTTTTATGGAACAATAAACAAATCTCAAGGCCAACCTTTCCAAAAAGTAGACATATACATTCTATAATTAAAAATTAATAAATCAAAAAGAGTTAATAAAAAAATTAACGATATTTTTCTAAGTTCCTAATTTTTTTGGACTTATATAAAAAATACCTATATTTAAGATTTTCTAAATGCATATGGCAAAGGATTTGGATTTTTAATTTGAAAATAAGTGAAAATAAATTTTCCAAGGTCGATTTCGAGGTTATCTGTCGGTGTCGCTATTGGAAATTTGTTAACTTATTGTTAATATAATAGAAGATTTTTAAAATGTCATGCATTTATAAGACTATTAACAAATATAACCTCAAATTTAATATGTTCTTCTTCCCAGTGGGCACAAAACCATGTTCGTTCTAAAAACGTTTTTAAAACGTTTCATGTCAACCAAAAAATGTTCGAGAACATTATTTGAACATCCATGTCTTTAAGAGCATTTGAACCTTCGTGACGTCACAAATCATGGCGCATGACACGCAAACTTCTCAGGTATGTGAAAAGCACAATTTTAAATATTTTTTAAAAAAACCTTTTGGAAAATATTCAGAATAACATAGACTCTGTCTGTTATGTGCGGAAAATTCAAAATTTTGCGTTTAAAACGTTTTTTAAACAATGTTAAGGTCACAAATCATGGCGCATGACACGCAAACTTCTCAAGTATGTGAAAAACACAATTTTGAATATTTTTTAAAAAAACCTTTTGGAAAATGTTCAGAATAACATAGACTCTGTCTGTTATGTGCGAAAAATTCAAAATTTTGCGTTTAAAACGTTTTTTAAACAATGCCTACATATAAGCAATTCGTGTATTTTTCCTTACTTGTGACAACCAACTTAAACATTGTTTAACCCTTTCAGGGGCACATTATTCTAAGCATACAAATTTTTGTTTCATTACGTATTTATACGTTTTTTGGGTCGCTGAATACAAATCCGAGGTCAGATTTTGCAAATTTTAAAAATTCAAAATGGCGAATCCAATATGGCGGACATTTTTTTTTTAAATTCAATATATTCGCCATATTGGATCCGCCATTTTGAATTTTAAAAAACTGACATCTGATTCGTAATCAGCAACCCCGAAAACCCCCGAGTAACGAGTTTCATACAAATTGCATTATATTTTTAAAAAGTCGTCCGCCATATTGGATCCGCCATTTTGAATTTTGAAAAACTGACCTCAGATTCGTAATCAGGGACCCCAAAAACCCCCGAGTAAAGATTTTCAAAGTCGTAGCACTTCGCGTTTACAAATAGCTGAATTAATTATTAAAAAAATGCATATTTTTCAGATTGATGGAATAATATTAAGTTAACAATAATAAATTATTCATAAACAATATTATAGATTCGTTATATTATATCCTTAGAATCTAAAAATAAGAAATATATGATTATTATTAGATAAATATGCCGGAAATACCAAAAATACAACAACAAAAAAGGTGGGACGTATACGTCCCACTGCCCCTGAAAGGGTTAAAAAACGTTTTATACGCAAAATTTTGAATTTTTCGCACATAACAGACATAGTCTATGTTTCTCTGAACATTTTCCAAAAGGTTTTTTTAAAAAATATTCAAAATTGTGTTTTTCACATACCTGAGAAGTTTGCGTGTCATGCGCCATGATTTGTGACCTTAACATTGTTTAAAAAACGTTTTAAACGCAAAATTTTGAATTTTCCGCACATAACAGACAGAGTCTATGTTATTCTGAACATTTTCCAAAAGGTTTTTTTAAAAAATATTCAAAATTGTGCTTTTCACATACCTGAGAAGTTTGCGTGTCATGCGCCATGATTTGTGACGTCACGAAGGTTCAAATGCTCTTAAAACGTTTTAGAACATTATTTGTCGGACATTAAACGTTTTAAAAACGTTTTTAGAACGAACATGGTTTTACGGTGACCACGTGGGAAATTTGCCTAACCTGACCTGCTATTGCGCGCGGGCGAACAAAGTTAACGGTAGCGCTACGGCGCGAAAACTGTTTTAATTTAAATATATACACAATACAAAAACATAAAAACTCACTCTAAATACATTTTTCTTTTTCGCATTATTTTTAATATTTTTTTCAACTTAATTTTAAATTGGTGTCTCGTGTCAAAATGTCATGTTATAATTTTCTATATACATTAAATCTTTACAATTTGAAATTGAATTTTTCATTTATTTCTGACGAGTAAATAAAGAAAATCCAGCAAATTTATTATTTGAAAATCATTGTTGATGAATTTTCGATACTTGGCTTCCAACACCTCAGTCGTGAATTATACACGGAAGTTGCGGAGATTTGTAAAGCCAGTCAATAACAATGCTTTGGCATTCCTCCAGGTGGCGAAGCAACAAATCGACTTTGATCCACTATACAATATCGAAATTTAACAACCCATAAGATATATTTTACTTGTGAAATGTGAAAAACTTTTGTCGTCACCATAACATTCTCATTGAAATGTTTTTACTGTATTTGTTTTGGTGTGCGTTGTCAATGCAGAGTTGAAACATTTTCCCTGAAAGGCCGGTAAAGAAAAACGAGATCGTTTAAACCTAAAGGATATTGTCGTTTCCATAACAGCTATTCACATAAAAAAACATTTAAGCTACACGACCATTTTTTCCTTATATATATACTGGTAGCATTCAAGTTTAATGCTCAAATTGTTAAACTTCTTTTATTCTTTAAGTAATTGCTTTCAATATAATAAACAAATACTTGACATGAGTAATTTAATATACTTTAACAAAAAAAATTCTAATTTATTAAAATAAAATATTTGAATTAAAATAAGAGCGTTGTTTGTTATTTTAATATCTTATCTTTTATTGATTTTTAAGTAAATGTAAAGAAAGGTTAATTTAATTCCAGATGTAATAATATTAATTATAAATATGCTAATGTAAGTAAAAATAATATTCCTAAAAGGGAAAAAATATAAAATTATAAACAAAATAGAATAATAATTGTACAAATTTTAAGAAGAATGAAAATTAAAAAAGTAATGTTCTTCATCACAAAAAAGTAAATTAAAGTTGTTTATGAAATACTCTTAATTAAAAAATACGCTACAGAGAACGCATATTTT